GAAAAAGAAAAAAGAAAAAAAGAAAAAAGTAAAAGAACGTAGAGTAGTAGTAGGTAGGTTACGTCGTCTCCTACCTCCTCTCTCTCCTCTCTCTCTCTCTCTCTCTCTCTCTCTCTCTCTCTCTCTCTCTCTCTCTCTCTCTCTCTCTCTCTCGGTTTTCCTTTCTCATCCTCAACCTTACTCTAAGGTAGCCCAGAACAATCTGTTTCTACAATCCTATCTCTACAACCCCTCTGTCTCTATACCCTTCTCCTCCCTGCCCCAAATTTCTGACGGTGTTTTGTCAACTACTTACTGCTCTGCTGAGAGAGTTATGGCTTCTCCTCAACCCTTCAAACAGGTATGTTTTAGCACCCCGCCACTCTCTATTCTCTCTTTCTCCTCTCCGTTCTAAATTCTCTCATCCCTTCGTAGTTAAACACCTAAAAAAAAAAAGGAGAAAAAAAAATAGAGGAAAAAAGGGGATGGAAAAAAGGGAAAAAAAAAAAAGAGGAAAAAAAGGGAAAAAGAGGAAAAGAAGAAGAAAAAAAATCGCGTGGAGGGGAGTCTCCTATCTTCTCTCTCTCATCTCCTCTTCTCTCTCCATCTCTCTTGCCTTCTCTTACTACAGCCCCTTGCCCACTTTTTCTATTAATTCGACTTTAATCCATATGCAGCCTAACATGCCTCCTTTTTGACCTATCCCTGCTGCTCTACTCTTTCTCCCTATTCTTTTCGCCCCTCCCCATCTCCCTCCCCCTCTTCCCCCCTACCCCTCTTCTCTCTCTTCATCCCTTTCTTTTTCTTCCCTTATCTTTCCCCTACACCCCTTTCTAGGGCTACTTGACCTCTTTCGAATCTTCAAGCTCATACTTCTGAGGATAGAAGTTTCTCCTGATTTGCAGACAGCTCCTCGGCTAGGAGCTCCCCCAAAGCTCGACGAACAGTATCCTCTCACCCTACGCAACAGGAGCCCCCGCTTTTTTCTTTTCATGGATCTCTTTGTGGATCTTGAAGCCAGGGATTTGCTTCAATAGTTGGCCATCTTCTCACACGCTCAAGTATGGTAGAAGTTCAAGATCAATCACATCTCCACACGTGCTGTCAAGTTTTTCATTCTATATAGTGGGATCCTGTAGCACCATGCTTCGGGTTCCTTTTTTTGGTTGTTTGCACTCATTTTTTAGTTTCTCTCTCCTCAATATTAGCACTCTCTCTTTTCTTATATCTAGTTACAGTTGTAGCCTGAGCACCCAACTTGTGGGATGCCATCTCTAGAATCCGTACTATGTAAATTCTAATATTAATACAAATGTTACCCCTATTCAAAAAAAAGAAAATAAGCTCGGATTTATGCCAATGAGGTCAACAATTGAGGATACTAAAGAAATTGATTGAAATTTAGGGAGAAGAGGAAAGGCATCCATATGGCCTTTATTGATTTAAAGAAAGCATATAATTAGCTTATGAACCAGAAGTAAGAGTAGAGGATAGAATTAAGAGATAATTCTGGGAGGTGTAAAGACTATCAGGTTATCCCAAAAGAGAGTTTCAGTATGCAACATAAGCTCGTGCTTATGGATTTCTGCATAAAGAGATGGAAGAGAAGGGGTGAAATTAATAGGTGTCCAAGATCTAGGTGGTGGAATTTAAAAAATGAGAAAATAGATAGATTTAGGGATAGATTAGTTATAGGAGGAAAATGGAACAATGAACATGAGGTCAATGTTACATGGAATGAGATGGCTGACTGTATTAAGACAGTGGCAAAAGAACTTTCAGGAGAAACTAGAGGTAAAAGAAACTCCGATAAGGAAACTTGATGGTAGACTGATGAGGTTCATAAGGCCATTAGCAAAACGATCATGTCATAAAACTTGGCAATGTAATTGAAATGATCAGAACTTAGAAGAATATAAAAGTACAAAAAAACACAATTAAACAAATAGTAAGTGATAAACTTAAGGCATATGATAACCTATACGATAAGCTAGGAACAAGAAAAGGTGGAAAGATATCTTCAAATTAGTAAAATGAGAAAACAAGTGTAAGATCTAGACCATAATAAATGCATTAAGAGTGAAGATCAAATGGTCTTAGTCAAAGATGAAGAGACCAACGAAACATGGCAAGTTTATGTTCAAAAATTATTAAATGACGAACATAATGGGAACACAATGGTAGAAGGAATTGTTGACATAAATGAGTGCGAAGGTCATAGATACATTCATAGGATTAGGATATCACAAGTGAAAAAAGCTTTGAAGACGATGACGAAAGGAAAGACTTTAGGACCAGATGGTATCCCAATAGAGGTTGGGAAGTACATAGGGGAGATCAGCATTGACGGGCTGACCGAGCTGTTCAGTAAGGTGTTGAGAACAAAGAAAATGCAAACAAATAGAGGAAAAGTGTTGTGGTACCTACTTACAAGAACAAATAAGACACAGAATTGTGCAAACTATCAAGGAATCAAACTTATGAGCTACACTATGAAGCTGTGGGAGAGAGTCACTGAGCAACGACTAAGGCATGAAGCGAGTGTATCAGAAAAGCACTTAGGTTTTATGCCAAGGAGGTCAACTAGGCAACTGATTGATAAGTTTAGGGCGCAGGGAAATGACCTCCACATGATCTTTATTGATCTAAAGAAACCTTATAACAGAATACCTCGACATTTAATTTGGTGGGTGTTAGAAAAGAAAGGAGTCTTCAGATACTATATTAACTTGGTGAGAGATATGTATGAAGGAGCAATGGAGTGCTAACTAGTGTGCGAACAACTAGTGGCGAGACGAGTAAATTTTCAATGACAAGAGTATACATCAACGGTCAGCCTTGAGCCCATATCTCCTTCTCTTAGTTATGGACGACTTAACAAGGCACCTACAGGATGAGGTACCGTGGTGTATGTTATTCGCAGATGACGTAGTTTTGATCAATGAAACCCGAAGCATAGTCAACACAAAGAACTTTGGAAGAATGCTCTAGAGTCCAAAAGTCTTAAATTAACTGGATTAAGACAGAGTATATTGAATGTAAATTCTATAATAATAGGAGTAGAGACGAGGAAGTAGTTAAGATTGACAGCCAAAAAATACCAAAAAGAACGCACTTTTAATATCTTGGGTCAATAATCTGGGAAAATTGAGAGATTGAGGAAGATGTCACATATAGAATCAGAGCTAGCTGAGCGAAGTAGAGATGTGCAACAGAAGTTTTATGTGATGGTCGCATACCAATGAAGCTGAAGGGGAAGTTCTATAAGACAGTTGTGAGACCAGCTTTGCTTTATGAGGTAAAATGTTGAGCGGTCACGAAACAACATATCCATAAGATGCGTACAGCTGAGATGAGAATGTTGAGATGGACGAGTGGCAAGACAAGAACTGATAAAATTCGAAATAAATACATACAGGAGAACTTAATTGTGGCTCCAATAGGCAATAGGATGAGAAAAAATAGACTCAGGTGGTCTAGCCATGTGCAACGTAGACCCAGTACATCACCTGTTAGGAGGTGCGAGTTGGTTCAAGTGGAAGGCACAAAAAGGGCAAAGGGTAGGCCCAAAAGGACATGGTTGGAAGTAGTGAGAAAAGATAAGGGGACTTATGTTGGGCAACAGGTATTATTGATCTTCCCTGGTAGCTATGTACGATATTTTATGAGATTTACCACCTATGCAGGGATATCACTGTCTGTTGGAGGCATACGTAGCGAACGTCAAAGGAACTAGCCGACCTTCTAGCTAAAGATAGGGCGAGGTGCCAAACAGACATGGAAGACATTGAATGGTCCATCTCCTTTTTTGCATTGGACCATTGAGGTCTCCAGGACTCATAATTTCTTTTGTGACTTCTTGTAAAAGGGTGTGCCTATAAGCCCATTTTTTGTTTACAGTCTCTCCAACAATAAATAGTTTGTATAGGGGTTATGGCTTATTTTTACCGAGTTACCCGTCTCGAGGGTAAGCTTGGCTCTCTCACTTCCCAATCTTTTGTACTCCTCCTTTGTAAAGTAATACAATGTTAAAATTATCAAAAAAAAAAAGATACGGGAACTTATGGCCTCATTGAGGGTAAGGCCATTGATAAAGCAGAATGGCGGACCAAGATTCATGTAGCTGACCCCAAATAGTCGAGAAAAAGCTATGATGATGATGATAATGATGTTGATGATACGATAGGGTAGCTAGAGAAATAATTTAGTGGGTGCTGGAAAAGAAAAGAGACTCAAGAGGATATACTGATATGGTTAGGGATATGCACAAAGGAGAACTAACTAACATGAGGACAACTAATAGAGAGACAAGTGAGTTTTAGATGACAGTAGACCTGCATCAAGGGTCAATGTTGAGCACATATTTATTTGCGTTGGTTATGAATGAGTTAACTAGGTATCTGAAGGATGAGGTCTCATGGTATATGTTGTTTGCAGATAACAATTTTGATTGATGAGACTAGAGACGGCGTAAACAAAAAGTTAGAACTTTGGAGGAATGCTTTAGAATCTACAGGTTTTAAAACTAGCTGGACTAAGGCAAGATTATATGGAATGTAAGTCAAGTAATCATAGGAGCATAGATAGGGAATTAGTTAATATTGATGACCATGTAGCACCTAAAAGATATTATTTTTGATAGCTTGGATTGATAATCCATGAGGAAGGAAAGACTGAGGAAGACGTTGCTTGTAGAATTTAAGCTACATGGATGAAGTGGAAATGTGCTTCTAAAGGCTTATTTAATCATAGTACACCAATTAAACTAACAAGGAAGTTCTATCGTACATTGTAAGACCACCCATGCTTTATAGAACGGAATGTTAAGCAATCAAGAAACAATATATCCATAGAATGAGCATAGCTAAGATGGAGATGTTGAGATGGATGAGTAGCAAGACAATGAAGGATAGAATTTAAAATTAATAAATACGAAGGAACTTAGGGGTAGCTTCAATGGGCAATAAAACGAGGGAAAGCAGACTTAAGTGGTTTGTTCATGTGTAGGATCGACCTAGAACAGCACCGGTTAGAAAGCATGATTTGGTTAAAATGGAAGGCTCTAAAATGCAAAGGGAAGGCCCCAAAGGTTATAGATGGAAGTAATGAGAAATGATATAGTGACTTATAGTTGAGGGTATAACCCTTGATAGAGTAGAATGGAGGGAGATTAATGTAGACAGCACCAAATAGTTGGGATAAGGCTCGAATGCCAATGATGATTGAGTGTTTTGATGGTTAGTTTGGGAAATTAGCCACTTAGATGATCAACCATGACCAGCACATGTACCTTTTTTCGTACATTATTCATGTCATAAAAGAGTAGGAAGCAAAACATTGTATTATCTGGTGACAAAGTTAAGTTCTAGTTCAAGTCAAGAATCGAGTTGGGTCAAGACAGTAGAGGCCGGGTTTTCATAGCACGTTTCAAGTTCCATTCCTATGTAACCTTGTCAAAAAAAAAAAAAAAGTTCCCACTCCAAGTCCAACAAATAGAATGCAATCACACCCCTCTAGCGATCTTGGTGTTCAAGGACTTCTTTGATGTTTCTAGATATGATAGTATAAGAGCAACCAAAGAGCTTTCAACCTACCCTTTCATGAGCAGCAAAAACACACCAATAAGGACTGACATTTCATTCATGAACAAACATATTGAGTTCTAGTCAAACACGGCCATCATTGATAGGAAAGTTCTTTTTTTTTCTTTAATATCGATAAACAAAAGTTTTCTTGTTCTGTAAAGAGGTGAGATGTGTCACAACTAGTTTCCTTCTAAAGGTTCAAAAAGATGAAACACAACATAAATCTAATGATACCAAATCATAAAAAGAAACAATAATTTGACGACGGCAAGTAGACATGCATTCGTCACCACGAGGTATGCTCTCAGTCAAGTATGGCAATTCATAGGCTACTCCAAAATAATTTGGTACATAATTCAATCATCATCATCATCATCATCATTAGAGCCTTATTCCAACCATTTGGACTTCACTACATGAATCTCGTATCAATGGCCATACCCTCAATAAGACCATTAGTCCCCCCACATATTTTTTCACTACTTCCATCCAGGTCCTTTTGGGCCTTCCTTGGTACATGATTCAATAAACTGAACAAAAAAGAATGGGATGAAGAGCAAAATGTGGAACGAGGAATGGAGGATTGGGATAGCTAGGATGGCAAGAATAGGTAGAATATTTGCATGATTTATGTGGACCACATAACAAAAACATTGTAATAATTTAGTCATTAATATGGAAAACAGAGAAAGTTTTCATAAATAGGTAAAAAAAATTAAAGTACAAGGAAAACAATATATCCACTACACTCATTCTATGGATACATTGTTTTTTGTCCACTCAACATTCCGCCCCATAAAACAAAGTTGGTCTCGCAGCTGTCCTATAGAACTTCACATAAAGCTAATGGATATGGGCTAAAAATATGACATTTAGATAACTCCACAAGTTCATAGCAACAAACTTAAGAGTAGTGAAGTGCATTTCCGGTCAGATTTCCAATGCATGTCAACAAGAAGCCCTCAAGTCAAGATTCAATTCATAAAAGTAATGTATGAATTTCATTATCAAAAAGAAAAAAAAGTTGTGTATGAATGTGATTGATAAGAATCGTAGTGAGACTAGTTTCCTTTTGCAATATGGAGCTTGTTGGTTTCCTCCTTATCCAACCCAACCCCTTATTCCCTTTCTCATGCCACATGTACACATCACATGCAAATGCATGTACCTTCTGATAATATGAAATAGACAATGATGGAAACACGCCTAGTTCGTATAAAGCATTTGCTAAAGCACAAGTACAAGCCCGAGAAAATACAATGATAAATAAAACGTCCAATATCCTATTAAATCAATGATAATTTAAAAAGTACTAGATATCCTATTAAATCAAAGATAATTTAACAAGTCGTAATTAAAAAAGATATAAATCATAAATACAAACTAGCTAATTAAAATAAATAAATAGTTGATACATAGAAACCATTCAAACATCCAATTAAGGCAAAGGCGTCTATGCAAATTGTAAATATCATGAATAAGAGAAAAGCAACTCTAAAGAAGTATCAAACATGCCCGTGCATGCCTGAATGTGATAAGACATCCCCAATACCAAAGGTACACTCCAACAATTACATTCCGATTATAGAGTGGAAGTGTCATTTTTTTTCAAGTAGCAAGGATTTTTTTTTCAAGTAGCAAGGATGGTACAAATGGATCACTCATATCAATAAAAAAGGATAGATGTCATCAAACCATAGGTAAGTGCGAATTCTCCAGCATCATGACCTACAAGAGTAAAACTCATTTAAGGTTAATATGTTATTGGAGTAGAAGCTCTACATGGAGTCCTTGTACGGTGAAAACAACCAGTTGCAACTTGATTTGTTTAGAGCCCCATGGAAAATTTCTGCCAAATGAGGAAAGCTGAAGAAAAATTACCTAGAGCAAACCAGAGCTCCATAAACTTTATGTTCCGATTACATGGAACAGTGGCCAGAAATTTCTCATTAATGAAAAATTTATAACTCAGAGAACACTAGCTTTATTAGGGGAATTCCCTAAAGAAGGATAAGAGAGCCAACAGTGATATCAAATAAATTACAGAAAAACTTCAGAGTTTAAAATCAACAAGATACTCATAAACCCAAGAAAGAGCCTGCATCTATCTCAAATATAACTATGAAAGAAGATCACCTAAACTAGGGATATTGCTGACCCATCATACCAAATGACGGCAATCATCAAAATTCAAGTTTAGTTCACTTGCATAAAATATAAATGAAGCAAGCTCCAGCATATAAAGTTTAAGCTTATTCGTGGAATAAACCCAACGTGTAAATAGTTCAGTAGCAAAAGAAACGAATACATAAAGCATTGCTACCTTTGGAGTTGTAATACTGGTTCTCAATATCCACATCTTGCTCTTCAGGTTCCTCCTCCGAGTACTCGAACCCATAATCCTCCATATCTGCATCTGTTCCCAAAAAAGAGACCTCAAGTACATCAAATTAGAGACAAAATATGGCATCACTAATTATATTAATCTGATGTTTGAAAAAGAAGAAGGACCGCATTCTGCATTGAGAGCCACAATTGCTTCAATAGTACAAATCAGCATACAATTCCACATAAAAAAAACAGAATAAGGATACATTGAGCACAATTCAGGATACCAAACTATTTAGCATACCCAAGGGTACATGCTTAAACAGAAAGACAACCAAACTTTACCACTGAAACATGAATCTAATGCTAATCACATAACTTCCAGTTTGTTGCAATGGAAATCAAACAAAATATAAGTGATGCAAAGTAGATAGAACATAACAATTTTCAGTAACCAACAAATGCCGAAGCAGGACCGCATTCTGCATTGAGAATTGCTTCAATTCAACATAAAAAAAACAGAATAAGGATACATTGAGCACAATTCAGGATACCAAACTATTTAGCATACCCAAGGGTACATGCTTAAACAGAAAGACAACCAAACTTTACCACTGAAACATGAATCTATTGCTAATCGCATAACTTCCAGTTTGTTGCAATGGAAATCAAACAAAATATAAGTGATTGCAAAGTAGATAAACATAACAATTTTCAGTACCCAACAAATGCCGAAGCAGTGTCAAAATCACAAAACACTCCCAAAATAGGGATCAAAAAATAAGGATAAACGAATAACTTAGATTGAAACTTACAAAAAAACGTTAATGGAACTAAACCAAATCATCACAAATAGCAAACATTGAATGAATTTGACCTGGTTAACCATAAAAAAGAGAGAGTAAAGGAAGTTCACAATATAAATATCTCCATAATCGAATAAATCGAATAGCTATATAACTACATGTAGGAAATTACCCTACCAGACATGGAAATTAGGGTAACAATGATGAAGAGAAACCCTAGAATCCAGTGTGATATGAACACTTACCCGAACCCATTGCTTCTGAGCCCTAAGGCTTTTCAGATGAGGGCCAGCTTGAAGATGTTTCTAACAATGGAAATATTGAATAAAAAATTATGGTAAACAAAATTAAGAGAGAAAAGTGAAGATCCGAGGACAGGGAGTTCAGGGGAGAGAAGAGAATGGAAGCGGAAGGGAGCTAAAAAGGAGACTAATTTTTCAAATGACGCACTGGTCCCCGTTTTCTTGTGGAAATAAATAGGAAATGTATAGAACGAGACATTTATTTTTGTTTTTTTACAAGGTGTCTCAATTAATTTTGGCGTTCAAATATGAAATTAGATGGCCGTATTTATTTTATTAAACAAGCTCAAATCAGAAAAAAAAAACTTTTTTGAACTTTATGATATACCCAAGCTGTCGGATTTTGCAATGATTATAAGTAAGTGTGACTTCATTATATGTAATCCTAAATAAATAAAGGTGCGGTTTGTATAAAGCTTAGGCTCTGAACAATCAAATTAGAGCGTACCTTCAAATAATGTCGAGAAATGTAGTTTCAATATTGAACATCTATGTGATAGCCCTAAAATATATTTTCATCTTTATTTATAAAGTTTAAAGATATTGAAAGTCTATGTGATAGCCCGGAAATATATTGTCTATGAAATATATTACTGACGTAATATATTACCTGCAAATGGATTGTTATTGTTTGGGTAGTATTTAGATACAACATAATTGTTACTGTTTGGGTAGTATTTAGTATTTGAATAGTATTTAGATGCAACCTGATTGTTACTATTTGGGTAGTATTTAGATGCAACCTGGGAAATGCAGGGTTCCTATTTGGCTATATAAGAAAGAAATATGGGAAGTGTATTACCAATATTTTACCAGCACTTGCCTATAAACTATCATTTCTTTCTCTTTTTTATCACAAAATTCCACTTAAATGAATTAAAGTCATTATCACAGCATTCTAAAAAGATTTTCTAATAATAACATTATCACCATTTCAAAAAGATTTTTTAATAATAACATCATCACCATTCCAAAAAGATTTTCTAATAATACTTGTATCATTCTAAAGTCATCATCACACAATTTCTTACCTATTTTGACGCTTACATGGAATCACATGTCTTCTAACATAATTAAACTTTGGTTTCAACATGATAAATCATTGGAATAATATGATTGGAATAATGTGTTTTTATTGTGATAAGCCTTATTTTTATTTATTTATTATAGAAGTCTTTCAAATGTCTATCTATGTAATTTCAAATAAGCAATAAATTTATGATACTAAATTAAAAATCTTTATGATACAAGTTAAAAAATGGAAAGAAGTTTGATCAGTAAACTACAAGGTTTGGTAATTGCAGAAAAAAATTTTGAGGTGTTAGAGAAAACTAAAGATATATATTATTTCAATTGAGTTTTTACTAATCTCTTATGAGGATTATGTTGGGTGAAAAATTTTATTATAATTATGTTGTGTAATTTCTTATGTTGGTGATTTTTTTATTATAATTGTGCGGTATAATTTCTTATTGATTAGATATGCTAAAGAAAAATGGATATGCTAAGGAGAGAGAACGGAAAAAGTTCAAATGAGATAGTAAGGGGGCTTAAAAAACAAAAAAAAGTCCAAATGAGAGAAAGAGGCTTAAAGATAAAGCAAAGCACCTTATGCAAATCAATTAGTAGGTTTCAAGAGGGAGGGGACAGGATTAGAGAGGGAGAGAGCACCTAAGACGGGCTTAAAGAGGGAGGGTCTATACAAATCAAGTAGGCGGGTTGGCATGTTATTAAGCTAGGATAAGGCAGAGAGATGCACGCTAACGATTTCTTGACAATGCAAGGCGATATAGAGCAGAGGAGCAACTTGCACTAGGATTAGCACCTGCAATTAAACTGAGAAGGTCATCTATGGAACATAAACCCTCAAGAAGGAAATGCATATCGGAGTATGTTCTGCCAATTGATGGGAATAAGCTAGGAAGCTACCAGGAAGCTGGATGAACATAAAGAGTGGATTAGACTATAAAAGAGGATATAGGATACCTTGTACAAGAACCACATCTATTACTTGTGAAGTTGCAAAAAGGCAAGATAGCACTCAAGAACAAGGTATACTGGTTGAAGATTGAAGGAAATAGCTGGCAACCAAGATGCAAAACAAAGTTGGTTGTGAAATGTTTCAGAAAGACAAAGGGCATAGGAAAATATCAAAAATATCCTTTTACTCAATAATTTGAGAAACACCCATATTTTTTCAAGTTTAGGTGCATACTTGTTTTTTCTTGTTTTATTTATTTATACTCAAAATGCCCTTCATGTCTATCGCGAGCATAATAGGTCTATATGGTGATTCCAAGCACCCCAAGAACCACCCAGGTGGGTGCTTGGGCCTTCAGGTGCCTATGAGGGCCATGAAGGCCCATCATGGACCTAATAGGTCCATAATGATCCCAATATAGGTCCCAGGAGCATGATTGTCCCGAGACCATCACGAACCTATTAGGTTTGTCATCGGTGATCACAAATCTACTAGGTCCATGATGGTCTCTCGTCCCCTGAATCATAGCTGAATGAAGACATGTAGAAACTCACCGTAATTCCTCTATTGCTCATCTTTCCAATGTAAACCATACTTAGATATTGTCACAGTGTAATATCTGTTCCATCTAGAACTTAGAAGCCATATTCTTCTCCAAAGGTGGCATTCTCGATATTAGGAAAATCTTTTCCAGTGACTCGGGTAATTCAAAGGGAATCCGATTCAAAATTTGCTACTCACTCCAACCTGGTGTCGTCATTGACAATCACTATACAAATTCGGCTTCTAAATTACGAAAAGAAAAATCTCCCTAGTAAAATGTTGATCTTGTGCCCATTGGAACCATAAAGGATCTATTAGGTCTATGATGGGTTTTTACAGACCTATTAGGTCTATGAAACCCCAAGCATCCACTTGGGTGTGTCTTGGGGTGCTTGGGACCATCATGTACTGTTAGGTCCATTATAGACCATCATAAATACAATAGGTTTGTGAATGGGTATTTTGCATAGAAAAATAAAAAAAGGATGTGTATGTGCATAAAATTGAAAAAAATAAGGTACTTTTAGAAATATTTGGAAAAAAAGGGATTTTCGATAATTTCCCAAGTGATTCAATTCTTTTCTCAAGTTGTAACTGGTTCCTCTCTCAGTGGATATTTTAAGCCAAGTACTAAGCATAGCCCATCATGCAAAAAAGGAGAATGAAGAAATAAATAAAATTTCTTATGCAAAAAAGGAGAATAAAGAAATAGATAAAATTCTTTATGCATTGACACTAAGTTTATTGTATGTCATAGTGTATACAATGCCATATCTTGCATTTGCATTGTTGAAATGGGCACCATGGGACCATAAAAAAGAGCATGAAACTAGAGGTGGATATTGTTGGGGTCTTCTGTCCCATGAGGAGGAGGGATCATGAGATGATCTATATCGTGTTTTTTAGGGAAATTATAAAAAATGTACCTTAACTTTTGACGTATTATTAAAAAACCCATACTTTTATAAACTTCATCTATATCAATTTTTTTCACTTTTTGTGATATTTGGACCAAAGTAGCCTTCACAATATTTGTATGACCATGAAGGAATCGCGATAGATTCAATATCGTGAAGGTCTTGATGTTTTGAAGCATCACGATACTTTAAATACCGTGATGACCATGAGAAGTATCACAGCTCTTACCCCATACTTTTCTAAACTTCATCTATATTCTTTTTTTCACTTTTTGTATTATTTAGACCAAATTAGCCTTCATGATAGTCATATGACCATGAAGGAATCACGATAGATTCAATACCATAATGGTCTTGATGTTTTGAGGTATCGATGACCATGAGAAGTATCATAGTTCTTAAAGTGTCGTGATAGTCTTCAATTCTATAACGACAGTCATACCGTGATGGTCTTCAATTCTATTTACCAGTGATGGTCTTCTAACCATTGATGAGAACAAAGATGGAAGGGCTGCTGCTTTTGGGGATGACATCGCTATTGAAGCTTTGGCCACTGAATTCAAGAGAGATTTTCGTGGTGAGCATATCTCTGCTTCATTTCATTATTTTCTTTGTTATCTCTCTCGGGTTTATTTCTCTTCTTGGTCTCTTTTTTTTTAGTAGCCATCACAAAAATTGAATGCCCAAAGAGTAAGAGTAAACAAGGAAAAAAATGATGGAATTCATAGATCAACGACAACTTTTTTGGGAGAAGCAGCGGCGGTTGAAGCAGCAACACAAGCAATCAACAACTCATAGTGGTCACCTCCTACCCCGCACCACCCTGCAAATATCGATAATAGCCCCTTGTCAAAAATCTTATTTCCAGGTTGTCAAAGTCTGAGCTAAAATTCTACAATATTCCTCATTCGTGCGCGTAGAGAGAGAGAGAGAGAGAGAGCAACTATGTTCCTAAAAAGAGAGGGAGTTATGTTCCATGCTCCTAAGAGATATGTTCCATGTTCCTTAAAGAGAGAGGGCGAGCAATTTTCCTTATTGGGTCCCAATATAGAGATAGCGTGCTCCTTTTGAAGAGAGAGAGAGAGAGTGTGTGTGTGTGATTTTTTTTCCAGGAACATGTGCCTCTCATGAGAAGAAAAATGGGGGGCTATGTAACTAAGCTCCAGAGCTTGTAAAGAAGGAAAAACATGCACCTTTCTTCGTTTGAAGGGCCATCAGAGCCATTCTATAATAATATTTTGGATGACGTTATAAAATTGAAGACCATCACGACACTTTAAGTGTCATGATACTTCTCATGGCCATCAAGGTTTTTTAAGTACCGTGATGCCTCAAAACATTAAGACCATCGCTTCATTAAGTCTATCGTAATGCTTTCACGGTCATACGACTAGTGTGAAGGCTATTTTAGTCCAATTAATGCAAAAACTGAAAAAATGGGTATACATGACGTTTAAGAAAGTATGAGGCTTTTTTAATAAACAAAAACTTAAGGTGCATTTTTTATAAGTTCTTTATTTTTTATAATGAGGAGGTCCCCTTTGGCATTACCCTTAAAGTGAGTGGGGTATATGGGGAGAATACCAAAGTACTTGGGGAGCGAGTCATTGGAACCACATACTGGAGAAGCAACACAAGGCCCAAATGACTTGGGGAGCAAGTCATTAGGACTAACGATTTGGG